TAAATCAAACTTTTTTATGTGTTGAAGTCACCTAAAGCTATGAGAACTAACAAAGATATGAGGTAGAATTAATGCATTAATGATACTTTCGCTACATAATTCGATAAGCATTTTATCCAAGAATACAATAAGGAGAATAAGATATAACATACGTACAAAATATTGTTTGAAATAATTGCAATGAATGAAATGATTTTTTTATTTTTTTAACCTGTTAGGTTCTAATTTTATATTTGTTTTTAATATGCGGTAGTGGTGTAGTGGTAGAGCACTCGCTTCATAAACGAGTGGTTCCGAGTTCGATCCCCACCACGTCCCTGGTAGTACCGCGCTCAACTCGTTTCTCCGCGTAGCGGCCTTGTTCGTCAAAGTTCGTGTTTCGGAGTTATAGAGTTGAGAGAGGGTTATAACCACAAATAAGTAGCCTCCTCGTCTGCAGTGGCCTTCTCGGCCTTGAGGAGGTAAATTAAAATCTAAAAAAAAAAAAAAAAATCAATTAAATTGGTTTCTTCAGGATTTAATATTAAGGACAAAAATTCATGTTAAATATTTTATATCTTATATATTATTGCTGAACTGAAGTAGTAGTAGTAGTAGTAGTAGTAGTAGTAGTAGTAGTAGTAGTAGTAGTAGTAGTAGTAGTAGTAGTAGTAGTAGTAGTAGTAGTAGTAGTAATAGTTGGTAGTCTTATCTATTTCATACTCTAATTTTATTTATATTAATATATAAAAGTTTACATAGACATATGGTGAAAAGTATAAGTTTGTACTTTATTGTTTTTCGTTATTATTTTACACATATATATATTGGGTGAGTACCTAATGACCCATCGGTTGAACCGTTTCGTTAAATGATTTTTTCGTTAAATGCATTCGATAAGAGAATCCCTCATTATTTTTTCCAAAAAAAATATCGGAAAAAAATATTTTGGAAAAGTGTAAGTTTGTACCTTTCAAAAATAAAAATTTTTTCTAAAATTATTTCTGACCAATTTCCAAATTAGTACATTCAAGTAATTTCTTTGTTAAAAAATGATTTGACTTTTTCACTGTCTATTATATAATTTTCGAATTTAGTTCTAAAAAGATACGGCTGACGGCTGTTTAGAAAGTGATTTTGCTGCAGTATTTGTTAACCTTATGTTGTTTTTTACACTGCCAGTTGCTAAAGTCGATAGATCATTTAAATAACAATAAAAGATTTTAAAAGATAAAAAAATATATATAACATAAAAGGAATTCTATCGGGCAAACATGAGTACATAATCTTACATTATTATCTATTGAGCATATAAAATCTACAAAAAATGCAAAAGCAAGAAGAACTACTAACTGTATCAGACATTCCAAGCGAGAAAGTATATATCTACTAGAAAAAAAAAAGCTGACTTTATACTTAAAAAACGTTATTTACAAGAAAACTGCGAACTTAAAAGTTAATTTTTATTATGTGGAGTTAAAAGTTCAGCTTTATTTCTCTTAGGGGTCGTCCGTTAATTTCGTCACGCTACGGGGTAGGAACGGGGGAGAAGTTAGAGGTTTTATGACGACTCGTACAAGACTTGTTACTAAAGAGTTACAATTTTGTGACAAGGAGGATGGGAGGAGTCAGAAACACTCAAAAATTGTGTGACGTAATTTCTAGATGATCTCTTATGTGGAGTCAAAAAATTAGTTTTATTTCTATTACATAGAGTTAAAAGTTCTGTTTCGTTTCACTTATTATATGGAGTTAAAGTTTTGTTTTGTTTCGCCGAATAAAAACTTATTTTTCTTATTTAGAGTAAAACCTTATTCAACGAAACAATAGAAAAAACCTAATCACAAGTTTAAACACTATACACATTGGACACAAGTTAAAAAACAGCAACCTTCAGGGGTCCTCAAATCTACAAAAGACAACCTTGATGTCCTTTATAAAATGGATATTTTAACCAGTTAGAGTTTAGTGTTATTTTTGGTTAATATTATTTTCGTTTTAACTTCATTTTTGATTTCCTCTTGAATATTATTAATATTATATTATTCATTATGTCTGCCATTTTGATAAAACTTATTATTTTTATGTCTCTATCATGTCTGGCTGAGTATCATATACCTCAATTTCACTTCTCATCATAACTTTCTCTTATAGTTTGTTATAATTCATATTGTGATAGAGTTTAATAGTTTTGTATTTTACTAACAGATTGCCATATTTTAGCCCGTGCCAGTCTTGTATGGTTGTACTTGTTGGGGTTCTGGGAGTTCAATAAAGCATGTTTTTTTTTTTTTTTTTATAATAATAAGACATTGCATTTATAAAAATTGGCCGGAGCAATAAGAAGACAATGACTGTCTTATCACCGAGCCCCGTTTACAAAATGTCCGTTTTTATAAACAAATATGAATAAAATATACAAAAAAACGTTAAAGAGTACATAACTTTTGTCAAATAATAAAATTACAATTATATTAAAAATTTAAAAATAAAGAAAGTTTTGTATACTAATACAAATATATTTGATACATATTTAGTGCTAATGGAAGCGTTTTTTCTATTTTAAAATTACTTTTTAAAAAAATTATTTAAAGTCTATTGAATTAAAATCTAATTGAAGTAAGGTTCTTTTAGAAACTGTTTGAAATTTTTTCTAAAGAGTAGTGTTCTTTATTAAAGTTTTTAATAAAATTTTTCCATAAAAAAGGTCCTCGATATTGAATTCGATAAGAACTTATTTTTAAATTAATTCTCGGAACAATAAAGTTATCCTCTGAAAACTTTGTTGCATACTTATGAGATATTTTGCTAAAATAAAATTTGAAATATAAGTGGAGATATTCCATGTTTCATTTTAAACATGAAAAGTAATGTCTGGTAAATGTTTAGTTTATAAATGTTTAAGGCCTTGAGACGATTCAATAGCGGTTCGCAATAAACAGTTCTGTTTGCACCAAATACAATCCTACAAGCATGCTTTTGTTTACTCTAAAGTTTTTTGAGTTTTCCGTAATTCGTACTTCCCCATGCAATGTTGCAGTAAGAAAGATAGCTGTGAGTAAATGAAAAATAAATTTTCATTAGAGCTTTTGCGTTTAAAAATGGTTTTGTTTTATAAAGTACGGAAATATTATAAGAGATTTTACTTTCAATAAATTGGATATGAAACTTCCATGACAAGGTTTCATCAATAATTACGCCTAAAAAGTTAACAGTAGATTCCCTTTTTACATCTGTTTTATTGAATAAAAGATTTGGCAGTTTAAGTGGAATATTATCAACTTTATTTGGTTTGTGGAACAGGATGAATTTAGTTTTATCTACATTTTTAGTTTTATTTTATTGTATTTTTTTTTACTTTAGTTACTGTCAGAACTGGAATTAACTAAATTCAATCAAATACAAATATTTTTACAAATACGTTAATTTCAAATACAAATTCAAATATAAATATATGCAATCGAATACAAATACAAGTTCATGCAATGAAATACAAATACAAAAACTTGTACTGAAGGTTAAGAAAAAATAAATTTTTTTGGTCAATACAAGACAGATAAATAAATATTCTAAAAAAAAAAAAAAAGAAAACAAGTCTTCTCACAAATATCCTTTGAAAACAAATTTTTAATTTATTTAAATACAAGTTCGCAAATTTAGCCTATTTTTACCAAATACAAATAACTATTTGACCCCAGCTCCGGTTAATGTATCTGGTAAATTAATAGTTGTTATGACAGAAGATAATATTTTAATTACGTTCTCATCATCAATGTCATTTTTCTTAACGACTGCTGTTTTAACGGAAGTTTTATATTGTTTATTTGATAAACAGACAGCTTTTTTTTTATTTATTTTTTTTAATTTTTTTTTTATTTTTTAATTAAGGTGCCCCAAGAAGTCCTTACGGTCTTATCACAGAGCACCGCGGAAGAGCATTTAATAGGAAGTTCACGCCTCCTTCCCAACCGATGTCGCAAAACTTGCCCAGAGGTGGGGTTCGAACCACGGATCTTACGTTTCTGAGACAAGTGCGCTACCACTGCGCCACGGCTGCTAATCATGTCTATTTTATCAATTTGTATTTAAATAAAGCTAATCATGTCTTTTCTTATAAAGTGGGTACAAGAAGATTTTCGTGCAGTGCATTTTTGGGTGTGGTTCATAGCCACACCAGAAACAAGGATTTCAGGAAAGGTCGCTTAACAGAAACAGCTATTTAAACTATTGTTTCTAATTAGAGATCTTTAATCAACAATAATAAATTTGTAATAACTATAATGTTAGATGTAGAGAGAGCTTTTGAAACAATTAACAGAAGAATTTTTTTAATAAATTAAAAAACATAAAGTAAGACGTAAAGTTCTTAAATAGAACTCTCTGATTGGTAGAACGGATATAGAACTATTTGATTCGTAGAACGGATATATACCTATCTGATTGGTAGAACGGATATATAACTATTTGATAGGTAGAATGAAAGCAGTTAAGATTGAAGAAAATACAGACAAACTACTGTGGGATGTTGAAATTCCACAGTGCAGTGTTCTTTGACCCGTACTCATTATAATATATATGTAAGATATTGACAGTGTAACAGAATTTGTAGAATCAATCTATTTGCAGACAACATCCTAGATAAAAAATTTCTAAAAAAACAGGTATTCTCTGGGGAATATTTAGATATACTTTGAAAAGAACTAGTAGAAAATAAAAGGACTAGTTTTCAAAACAAAATTTTGGCCTTGCTTCCAGTAATGCGTTTTTTCCTTATTATAAACAAATGAAGGAATTCTTCAAATCCCTCCTTCAGCTGCTACAAAACAGAGTAATGAGATCAAATCTAAAAGTGAAAGTGCTAACATCACTGAAAGAGGAAAGTGAAAATGCTAACATAATTAAAAAGTGAAAACAACATATAATCTTATAAAATTCAAGGTTGTCACATTCTAATGGCGATTCTGATAACAAAGAAACTAAAAACTGAACCTAAATAAAAATAGCTTAAATAATTATTTAGCAAAATGGACAGTCAGTTTTATAATATCTCACCTTAATGCTCTAAACAACTTACTATAGATTCTGAGTAAGAAACAGTCCTCTTGTTTGTCCTTTTGGTTCTTTTTTAGAGATTGAACAGAGTGTATTTCTGATTGCTTTATTTTCTAGTTCTTTTAAACCAAATTTTATTAATAGCTATTTAAAAGATTTTATTAACTTTTTCAGGAAGTTGGTGTTATTTTTGACAAAGCCGAAAAAGCATGCAAAATAAAATTAAAAGCTGTTATTTGTAATGCACCTGCTCGATTGTATGTCTAATGTATTAAAACACATAAAGGATACAGTTGTAGTGAATAGTTTTACCTGATTTACTTGCTACACTAAGAACGGATATAGACTTTCTCAATCACTTTTATTCAAAACACCATAATACAATATCTCTTTTTGCTATGCTAAATTATAACATGGTAAGTAGATTTCCAATAGACTATATGCATTTTATTTGATTAGGTGTTGTCAGAAGCATTTTAAACGCATAGATTCATGGTCCAGCGTCATGAAGGTTGTCACAAAAAATTATTGTAGTAATTTCTGAAAAACTAGATTTTCTAGAAAATCTCATTTGTTAGCTAAATTTAGAAGATGGAAGGCTACTGAGCTCCCCTTTTTTTCGATTTATACGGGGCCAGTGGTATTGAAAGAATAATTATCACCAAATTATTATCAGAACTATATGGCATTATCTGTCACTATCAGGGTTTTAATGTGCACTTCTTTACTTAAACATTACGCTAAGTATCCAGGTCATTTGATACGATATTTAACGATATATTACAATCTTTGTGCAGACTTGTAAAGAGTTGTATGGTAGAGATTCGCTAGTAAATAATGTCAATTGATTACATCATTAAGTTGATGATGAAAAACTCCACGGTGCTCTTGACAATTGTTTTTTTTAAAGTCAATTAAAAATGCTTGTTAACCCGATCACCTGGTTCCCAAATTGTTAAAAGAACTTTTAAAAATGATAATATTTTTAACTGTCAGCGTAATCATATAGTTGGTTTAAGTAAATTGCACACTAAAAGTCCTGTAAATGTAAATATTACACTGGACCGCTATCTTCCATTCAAACAGTATCAGAACAAAAAGTATTTCATGTCTAACAGTGTTAGAGATAATTACTTTGAAATACCTGGTAAAACCATGAAATACCTGGTAAAATCACGAAATACCTGGTAAAATCATAAAATACGTGGTAAAATCATGAAATACGTGGTAAAAATTTGAATTGTTTTGAAATACGTGGTAAAAATTTTATTCTCAAAACTAAAGTATTTATATTGTGAAAGAACTTATGATTTGTATAATTGTTTACCACTAAGTGACGTAGTGAAAAAATATATTTGTTTACCATATAAAAGTGGGTTTATTGTAATACCACAAATGCACTATTGAAACATTTTAAATTGTCTATTCATTTTTTAGTATTGAATTTTCATATGATGATTTTTTTATATGTGCTTTACCATATCAGCATTAATGCGTTTTTAAAGGGGTACATATTAGATGAATTATCAACATTTTTATAGTTGTAGCCAAATTAATTGACTGTAGAATGTATGCTATTGTGGTTTTCGACAACAATATAAAAACAATATATATATAATATATATATATATATATATATATATATATATATATATATATATATATATATATATATATATATATATATATATATATATATATATATTATATATATATATATATATACTTTTTAATTGGGTTATCAATATTATTTAAATTCAAGAATGTGCAAAGTTGGTTAGACAGCGTATAGCATTAGAATGCTACTGGCTTCAATGGTCAAGCTTATGCAAAGTTAGTAGGGCACAAAAGCAATGATCCAAATATGATGCAGATTGGAAAGTTTTCTCTATTCGATTGTTAGGAGTTGCTGTTATTTTTAGGATATTTTGCCCTGTATAATTTATACATTATTTAAACAATTATACTCCAACCTACAATTCACATTAAAAAACTATTTACACATAAGCTAAGTGTTTTTTTTTTGAAAATGTACTAATTATTTGGGTCTTTTTCATATTACCTACAATCTTAGTAAATTTATTTTAGTTTAATTTGATTGTAGATTATAAAAAATAGGCTAAGTTAAAAATAGCAGAGGATACCTCTAATTTTGAAGAGCAATTTAGCATGCAAAAAAGATATGGCTTAAAATTTGATATGCCTCAAATTTACATTGCAAAATGCAAATGATTATTCTCAATTTTATTGTTGAAAATTTATATTTATTACAGTTAAAAATCTAATATGTTTTTGGTTTACTAACTTGTTGAAAACAGAATGAAAAAAAAAACTGTCTAGTAGCGAAGAAGATGTAAATGATTCGGAAAGTAAAAACAGAAATAGGTGTTCTGTTTATTTTTAGAATAATTCTAATTTTTTTTTTTTGCAAAAAGTTTTATTGTTGTCTTTATGAAAAGTAGTTAAAATATACTTTTGTTTCCAACAATACCTAGAAGGTAGAAAAGAAAGATGCCAGAAAAGCTTTTTAAGCTTTTCTGACATCTTTCTTTTCTACCTTCTTTCCGGTAATCAGTGGAAAAACTGGGTAATATTTGTTTAATTTGATAAATATCAGTAAATATTTCATCTGTGACTATAGTTTTTAATTTTAAGTATATGTTTAACATTTATATAAGAAATAAACTTTAGTAAACCAAGATTGATTTTGTATCATCGGGGGATGATCATTCAGAGAGTAGCAACAGTGGATTGTATATTCCCGCGGTACACTCAGAATTATCAGGTACGGTTTATATTATTGCAAATTGTTCAGTGCTACACCATATAAATTCCTTATTGATTTTTTAATTACTTTTTTAGACTTTTAAAAGATAAAGTTTGGCTCAGACAAGTTAACACATTTTTTAATTTTCAATCAGAAAATTTTTGGATCAAAAGACCGGGTATGGTCTTGTGACAAAGTAATTCCTTTGATAAAAGCATTTGGTTATACTACGTCAGGTATGTTATTAAAAAAACAACTTAATCTAAATTTTTCTTTTAGTTGTTTTTTAAAAGTTTATAAGGTTATGCTATCAATGATATCAAACTGAACTAAAACTTGTATGCAATGATTTACTACTCCATTGCTATGTTTTTATTATATTAGTTTTTAATAATTGCTTCATTTTTACATAAAAAAGAGAAAAATTATTGATGAAAATCTTTGCTGGGCAAGAAGAACGCCCCGAAATTCCATTTAGCTATGTTGCACAATACCTAACAACAAATTAATATGACACAAAGCATCATGGAGAAGAAAATAACTCTATTTTCTCCTCCATGATGCGTGTCATATCAATTTGCTACCTCTTAAAAAAATTGAATATGTGGAGGCTGTTGAAGAAAAATTGAAGGATGACAATTTGAAAAAATTGATATACTTATTTTGTATAGTTTTCCAACATTTAAATATATATATATATATATATATATATATATATATATATATATATATATATATATATATATATATATATATATATATATATATATATATAATATATATATATATATATATATATATATCAACCCAGTCAGGGCCGTCCCGAAGAGGTTTTCTATGGGGGAAGGGGGGTATTTTTTTTTTGCCAACTAATAACACAAAAAAGTCCTCAATATTTTCAATTTGCCAACTATAGTTCAAAACTTGCTCAACGTGCCAAATGCTCAAATGACTGCTTTGGGGAGGGGGGGGGGAAGACACTCTGACACCCCCTCCCCCCGTGTGTGCATACTGGAAATATATAAAATGTAAGTTCATGTTTTGTGCACAGTTTTTTTTTTTATAAACATATAATACTTTTGAAGCATTTTCAGGTATGTTAGTACAGGCTGTTTATACAAAAAGATTTTAAAAGACATACACATATCTTTAACTAAAGCATATTTCTTATAAGATTGTTTCGATACTTTTCTTTTTTATGGAGGTTTACGCTTTACTACGCACTGATATCATGTAAAGTGATTGCGTTGCAAAATATAAACCTATTTGAATTTTTAATGCTTATTAGGACCTAGACCTAGACTTGCTTATTAGAAAGATTAAAAAACCTAAGAATTTAAACTGTGGCGATGCATTTCAGAAACGCTGCTTCCATTTAATGAATAAAAAAATTTTATAAAACGGGAATTAAATGCTATTAATCAAAATTAAAAAAATATTGCTGCAATTTAAAAGTAAAACTGTAAACTTGATGTTTGCATAAGTTAGATATTTCCATACACTTTCGTTCACATTTTCTTATTAAAAAAAGTGCTACGAATCTTTTTCGCAATTACTTTCGGTTGTAATGGCTGTAGTAGTAGTAGTAGTAGTCAAGAAAAACTTTGTTCAAACATCGACAAATTTGGAAGTTTAGTCAGCAAATTGGGACCATTAGTCGGCTAGTCTGTAATGTGGAAGAACAAAGATTTTTATTTACTAGTTAATTAGTAAAAAATACATCCCATCATCCTCAATTCCCCTTTCCCCGACTTTATTCACCACCAGTAAAACCTCATATGTCCATCATTTATCACAATGTTCCATTGTGAGGTTTTAATATTGTCATCCTAGACATATAGGTTTTATATGTCTAGCATGACGATAGATCTTTAATGGTCATTGTGTAACGATTTATCGTCATGATAGACATTGCTCGTACTGTACGTATTTATGAAATAATTATATATTATATATAATATTTATTTATATAAGTATTTTTATATTTATATACAATATATAATATTTTTTTATTAGGGTAGAAACTACCAAGTTTAAAAATTGACCCAACTTCAAAAAAGACCCATTTGGGCTGCCGTCAACAGAAGTCCCCTAGCACTGAGGGGCCATATGCCTTGCTTATTCTTGCTATACAGTTGCTCACTACTGACAATTTGTTTATGATATTTTGGGATCAATAAAAAACTATACTTTATTAAATTTTTGTGTTAGCCCGTTATATAATAAGTATAAAAGCGACAATAAACAACTTTCTATGTATAAGATAACGTAATTTATAAGTTTTGATTGCAAAGCGTTTCATCTTACGGAACGTCCATAAGTTATGCAATGCTTAATTTTGCTATAAAACAAAAGAGATCAATAGTTTTCGTTCGCAGAGCCTTAACTTAAATAAAAAATCAAAATAGCGCGGAAAGTTTAATGAAAATCGCCGCATAAAAGAGCTTAAGATCTCCAACTTCTGTTTTTAAATAAATATATTTAAATGAATATAAATAGCGTAGCGTAATTTATGGACGATCCAATAAATGACGGGAAGTGATGTCAAAGTTTTGATTTTATTTCATAAGTATGAAAAAAAATTTAGCTTGCCTAATAAAATCTTCATTCATTGTGACCTTTTTATGCAAACATTATTGGGTGCAGCAAAAATACTCAAAAAACAAAACTAGAAAACTTTGTGTAAACAAAAACATGCAATTAGAATCGTATCAAAAGCTGAATATATTAGGTTAAATATACTTAACGCATATCAATTAAATATCTCCTAGTTTTTATGTTCAAAGTTAAAAAAAAAAAACACTTGACGTTTTTAATCTGTAAATCAAAACTAATCAGACTTACTTAATGGCAAAAACTTTTCATCAAAAGGAAGATCAAAATTATGAAATAAAATACTAACTACCCGGTGGGAAATAGGCTAGCGCTATTCGTAACGATAAAGAAGGAGATTTGACCACAAGGAGCTAGCTAATCTCTAACTTATCTAGCTACCAATTAGCGAGCAAAAATTTGCATTATATTATATTAACGGGTGATAACTGAAAAATTAGAATAATTTTAACCCTCTCATATCTGACCATCATATAATATAATCCCCTTATATCGGACCATTATATCACATAACCCTCTCATATCAAACCATCACATCATATAACCCTCTCATATCCAATCAAAAAAGTCAAAAAAAGAAGAGTACGCCGATGTGAAACTATACTCTCTCTGTTTACAAACGTATAATATGTTTTATTTTGCATTAGTTAATTCAGTTGTGTTTAAAATGCCGTCAGAACAAGAGGTACTACGCATTGTGAGAAAAAAAAGTTTACTATATTAAAAACAATTATTTGTGATACAGTCTACCTTAAAAGTATAATTTTCTACTTGAAAAGGTAGAAAATTACACCTTACTAATGATATATTACATATTTTTCCCTAAAGTTGAAAATTCTCCTTTTTTTTAGTATGTATTAGTAAATATGCCGCAATCCAACAAACTTGCCTCAGTGTAACCCAATTAAAAATTTCTTTGGATATTTGAGTTCGTTAGTAAACAAAAACAACTGGAGAGTCAAGAGTTCCAAACAATTGATTACCCGAAGCAAAAGATGCATTTGTCAAATCGATATAAATGCTGTACAATGCTCCTGCTCCAACATCATGACAAAGCTACGTCGAACTGCTGATGATGAACTATATTCAAATTCATTAATTTTTTCTTAAAAAAAATTGATGTACCTTTAATTAAAATAAATAAAACTTTCATTTTCTAAACATGTGCTTTTATTATAGTCTGATATGAAATTTTTTATTTTTTAGTCATCAACTGTTATATTACTTATTCATATTTATGTTATCTAGTTGTTATAATCTGATGACTTACATTTAACTATATAGCAAGGGTATGTATCAACTGATATATTGTAACAACATCGCTACCTAAAAAGCTACAATATGTGGCAATTAATATGTGGCCATCGACTGGCTTTAGATTTTTCATTATAATGTAGTTAGCTAAATACTTACAGTCTGTAGCTATCGATATATCGATCTGTAGCTACCGAAAGCTGCAATGTATAGGTATCAACTGGCTATAGAAATGTGATTGTGTTGTTGCTAGCTTCAATGCTACAATAAGTAGCTAACAATATTTTGTAGTAATATCGATAACGACAAACCTGCGATATCTAGCAAGTGACATGTCGTAATAAAATTGTAACTAAATAAGATATTATCATAAATATATTCGATTAAGTACTAATATATATCATAAATATATATACTAAATACTAAAATCATATAAAAAAAATAAAATAAATAAAATCATAAATCTATTCGATTCAGTATTGATGTTTGAATTTTTTAAGATGTAAAAAACAAAATTTAACAAGTCAGACAAAAATTTAATTTTTTTTTAATAAAAATTGCTATAAAGCAAGCTTTTCGCTAGCTTATTTCCCACCTGATTATGAACTTAAAACACTTAAATTCTTAATGAACTGAAAGTAAAATTAAAACAGATTTATGAATCATGTATTTTTTTCTGAATAGCAACTGCTACCTATATAAAAAAAAAAATTCAAAAATATAGAACTTAAAGTATTAAATAATGCTGCCACCTTGAAAAATAAATTAAAACACCTCATACTTAATATCAACAATTATATCAACATGTATTAATGTAACAGTTTTTTTTTTACATATATGTAAAAAAAAAACTGTTGCATTAATTTCGCTTTAAATATAAATTAATTTAATATTTCTCACTGACATTTTCGTGATAAAAATGTATTTTCGTACTTCCTATAAGAAAATATATTTATATTCAAGTGATACTTCCTTGCGAGCAAGAAAAAAAAATATTTTAGAGATCCGTTCAGAGCCAATATATAAAGTATACATTATATAAGTCCATTCACAGTTTTAAACTTTGTGTAAAAACGTTTTGATTTACTAAGACATACTTACATGAGAATTACAAAAGAAATCCCAACAACCATAGCAACACAAACAATTACTATAGAATTATATATTCTTTTGATTTAAATATTCAATCAAAGATCAATGTATTCTTAGTCTTTAATAATTTCAGGATGCAAGATACTTTTGCAGAAAATTTTAGGAAAATAATAATTGTATTGCTATCCGAATACCCTTAAACCTTTGTGCAATTATTTAGAAGGAGTATGTAGTTCAACTCGCTAAATGTATATAAAAAAATGCCTTTGTTTAAATTCCTTTGTTAAAACTTTTGTTTTGAACCAATCATTAACTTTATGTAAACTTTTGAACCAATTGTTAACTTCCCTCCCAAAAATGATGGAATTATAAATTTTGCATGGTCAAAGCTTTTGAACGTGAAAAGATTATGAAATTTAAAACTTGTCAAAAATATTTTATTAAATGCCTTTGCATTTAAGATAGGTTTGACAAATATTTTGAGGTATATTGTTCCTAGGCGCAAATCATCTTTGAATTAAATTTTGTATATCAGATAAGACAGTAAACGTCATTTTACGACTAAATATTAAAACGTAAAACTGACATGGCGCCGTTTAAAATTATGTTTTTTAAACTTATGGATAACTTCTTCTCGTTCTTTTATTTCTTCTGTTTTTCTTTTTCTTACAATTTTTCAGAATTAGAAGTGTTTTCCTGTATTATTTTCTCTACTTTGTTGTTTTTTGTTTATTTGTTTTTTTGGCTTTTTTTGTTTGTTTTGTTTTTTTATCTTTCAATCCTTTCATTTATTATTAATCCTTAGTTGTCTTTTTTATTAATAATGATTATGTCAATTAAAAATTTATATAAAAATTTATATTAATTTTTAATTAATGTAATCGTATTATTTAAAAACGGTACCATTAAGTATTGAGGGGCTTACCATAAGGTATCGAGGGGGTTTTATCATAGTTTCAGTACTCATTATATTTACTTAGACAAAAAAAATTACTTTTGTTTTTTAATGGAAACCAAAAATGTGAAATTTAATTAGAATAGCAGATTAAAAAAATAAAACAACAGACTTTTATAAAAATAGATTCTTTGATGAAAAACCCTTTTTGCAGTAGACAAAATGTACTCAGGGCCTTCTTTCGGGGGTGGGGGCAACACTAGGGACGATTCTGAGTCTACATGTTCCTAAAAACTTTACTAGTTTTTGTGTGCTTCAATTTCTTCTTTAAATTTAACAACATTATTTTATCTTTTTTTATGCATTTGTTTCAATTTTTTTTTTCTTTTAAGCCTTTAAAAAAAATTTGAAACCTTTTTAACATAGTAACTTTTAAACAACTTTTTTAACATTGAAATCATTTTAACATGGAAGATAACAGCTTTTTTTTGCTTTGCGCTCAACTCTATTTTGAATTTTGTTGCTGCTGATCTAAAAACATTTTTTTAAAAAAAACAACTTTCTTATTTAACCATTTACGTAGGTTTAGACAAAAAATTTTTAATGTGTTAACTAAATTGTTAACCAACTAAGTTGTTAGGGCCCCATCTACTCTCGCAACAGTATGTGGTCTGTACTCTTTTTTATTGGAATTCTTACAAGCTTTGTAATTATGTTATTTCTAGTGTAAGAATTGGCTGAATTGGCTGCCACCACTCCACATTAGTGCCAGCTTTTCTAGAAGCTATAAGTAAAATTTCTTTATCAGATTTTTTCCAAACTGAAAATTGGCTCATTTTAAAATCTGTTTTTATATTGAAATCAAATTTACTATGCTTTATAAGCTTTGTGTTTTTCGCAACTTTTTATTATTATTGCAACATCTATTATTGGGACATCTAATCTTTTATAACATTTAAATCACATAAAAACGACAGATTTTATAAAATGAAAACGTTTTTTAAATACATATTTCCATACAAAAAACGCCTTTTTAAAATACTAAACTGAAGTTCCTTCAAATGTTGAAGATTTCCATCTATGACCTTTATTTAATATAAATAATAATAGTCATTGAAACTGTTCCACGTGTAGATACAAAAAATACGGCTTTAGTCTTTATCTATAAGACATATGTTTATAAATACTGAAATTCATCAAACTCTTAAGCAGTTGAACTATATAAGAATAGTTTGATGTGTGACATCATCATGACATTAAATGACATCCAGAGATTGCTCATCTCAATTACAATTGAGTCAGTCAACATGGATACTCCAATATTTCTAGAGTAACACATTTTTCTTTGCAACATTCTTCATCGGCGTTGTCTAGTTTACCACTAAAAATACTTCTTCGTTTTCTTTTCAACGGATTCAAAAACTTTTTAGCTGTATTTGCCTTTAGAAGAAAGTGCTTTTGCTCCTTCATCATACCTTGAAATAAAATTTTTACAGATTTAATATGTAATTTATCACTTTGTATTACCTTTAAAGTATTATAAAGTGGATATAGACGGATACAATATTTTAACTTTAAATAGGACCCTTTAAAACGTTTACGATTAGAAAATGACTATACAATGATTGATTATTGGCATACAACAGCCACGTTGGTTTATTAGACATTCGAAACAAATATTTTTAAAAGCACAAAGAATACTCCAAACTTTTTTATGTTCATTATTTATAAACTCAAGTGTTTTGACATCAATTGAAGGCGAATTTTTATTAACATTTTGGCGTTTCTAAACTTCAATCTTATTAAACACAAAAGTTTAGAATTATTAATCATTAGTGTATAAGAAGGAGAAGGATTAAACTATATATGGTCATATAATTTTGACCGCCGATAGGTTTTTATAACATTATAAAACATTAAAAAGTTTTTGTCTAGTTTAAAGTAGCACAATTTTTTTTTGACTAAAAAAAACTTGAATGGGTCGTAGGTTGTGTTTTTGTTCCCGTGCTACTACACACCAATTTGTGGCAAAATCATCCGCATTTGACATTAATATTTACATACAAGTTTGAAGTTTTCTGCTTTTAAAGATACCTATTTTGAACTCTAAATAAATCTTAAGGCGTCCCTTTGAAGTTGTTGTTTTGACCTCTCTCTCTCTCTCTTGTCCAACCCATCTACTATCTTTTTATAATTATATCTATAATAAAAACTTAAATAAATAAGAAATTACTTTTAAGCTCAATGTGTAAATTATTTGCTTTTTTTTGACTTTCAATTTGACATAGTACTTTCCATCTCAACAAAAATTGATTTCCACATAATGCTTGTGCGTGAGCAGGTTTTTCCTCACCTCCCAAAACTCCAGGTAAAATGATAATTATCAGGAAAATAATTGAGCTTTGCATTTCAATAAGCATTTTATCTAAAAAACAAACAAACAAGGTATTAAGGTTTCTCAACAATTAAAACAATATAAGTATAAGTAAAATAACCAGGATGTGTAAAATGAAATCCAAAAAACTTTCCCTTTGTTCCTTTAGCCCACTCTTGCTCCCTACCCGTCTTTTAAGCTGCCTTAACACCGAAACCTGTCCCCTAAATTGTTTCGCAACTTATTAAACAATTATAAGTTATTTGTATATTATTTTAAAAAAATGTTTTCTAATCTTTGTCTAGAATAATTAAATTAATTGATAAAATAGAATTTAATTAATTTGTTATTTCTTCAAGTGTGCGATGAGTATAACGAGCAAATGTGAACAAGTGAAGCGAGTAACTATCAAGCAACTATCGAGTACAACGAGTAACTATCGAGTACAACAGTAATAAAATAAAATAAATTAAAAAAAAAAATTCAAGCAGCATTACACATAAAATTAAAAAAAACTCTTTTTTTAAAATACTTTACAACCAAACGATACTTTATAAAACTACTTTACAACTTAAACAATACTTTATGAAACGATACTTCATGAAACGATACTTCATGAAACGATACTTTATGAAAAGATACTTTATGATATATACTTTATAAAAGAATCTTTTACCAAGTAGCCAAGTAACCATGTAAAATAAAACAAAAAAAAAAACAGAAAAATTTATTTATGACGGATAAAAAAAAAAATATACGAGAAAAGCTAAATTTAATATTTCAATACAAATAATTAAAAACAAAATTTAGGCTAAGTTAAAACAGTTTTTTGATTATTTATTTTCTTGAATATTTTTTTTATTCCATTGACATTTATATCTTTCCTGTACACAATCATTTATTAAACACATTTCCTGTATTTAGGTTGAATCATAAGGTTAAAATCGTTTACTTCCTTAAAATTGTATACGCTCTCACGCTTCCACACACACACATACACATACATAAAGATATATATATTATTTTCATCGGTATTTTGCTGATCTGTTGTGATTAGCGTCATCAAGTTTAATAGAAATTTATTAAAATAAAAACTAAACCGTCAAAAATAAAACATCAAAAAACATGGAAACAAATACAATGACTCTATTTTAAATTTAGTAAAAAAATGTCCCCCAGATTTTATATTTCACGATATCACTGACATCCAGATTAAAAATCCTTTCGTCACTTCCCGATTCATAGCAAACTATGGCTCTGGTTATTTCAGGTAACTCATCAAGTTTCCAATGTCAATATTATGGAGCTACTAATAAGGTCTTTTATATATGTGTATATATATATATATATATATATATATATATATATATATATATATATATATATATATATATATATATATATATATATATATATATATATATATATATATATATATATAGTATATATATATATATATATATATATATATATATATATATATATATGTATATATATATATATATATATATATATATATATATATATATATATATATATATATATATATATATATATATATATATATATATATATATATATATATATATATATATATATGTATATATAATAAAAAAGTTTAACTAATTTAAAAAAATACCGCTTTTTCTTCTTAACGATTTAAATCTATACAAAAAAACCTAAGTGAATAGATATTTAGATGTAACAAGTTTTGTTGTTTTTTTAAAGCATTCAACTTTAAATAATAGAATCAATGATAAGTTGTTAGCAATGATAACTAATTATGAGTTACAGGTAATAATATTATTTAATCTTTTGTTGAAATTAATTATTTTTTTGTTTCATATTGTTAAAAGTTTATTTACGGGTGGGGCACTGGTTTCTCGTAAATATCTTAAGACAAATGTATAAAGCTTCTACCAAGAAATTGTAATGCACTCCCATTGTTTAGTTTATACTAAAATAGTTCACAACATAAATATATTTATAATTAGGCGAATTAAATTTATTAGACTTTAATAATGATTTAATATTAAGGAACAAAATTTTTTAAAAATAATTACATTATACCTTAAAGGAAAAACATATAGTTACAGAGGTTTTGGCATAAAAAGTTTGTCATAAACAATTTCTCACAGACAATTCAATGTGGAAATTCATGAAAAAGAATTTTTAGTTTCATATCTTTAAGTGACGATTAAAAAAATCAATCGTTTGACCATACGTAAACCCGTCACATTAAAACAATCATTTACTATACGTAAACCCGTCAAATAAAAAATCATTACTTAAGCTTTTAAACGTTTAATTTGATAAGCATCTAGATGACAGTTATTTTTTGTTGCAAAAGTTATAAGTATAATTTTATTTTAAAAAGTTTTTTGTCAAGCAGAATATCATGTTTTTCTACGCTTTCCAATCAAAAGGCAATCTTTTTTTTTTCAAAAAGTTAGGTAAATCTAACTTTTGTATTACTTGATTACTATCATACATGTATATACAGCGAGTATATATATATATATATATATATATATATATATATATATATATATATATATATATATATATATATATATATATATATATATATATATATATATATATATATATATATATATATATATATATATATATATTTATATATATATATATAGCGTGTGTGTTTATGTGTTCCATTTTATTCTATTACTTACTTCAAAACTTTTTTTAAAGATGCGGTTTGATTTGATTATAACAGCTTCAAATTTTTGTTTCTCTCATATCTATAAAATTTAAAAAAATATACAAAACAAAAAAACAATAAAATTACTATGATAATACAATTAATATATTTTAACGAATTATGCAATATCAAAACAAAAAAGAAAAACAAAGACTAGTTAAAAATACGTAAACAGGCGACACAGATAACAGAAAATTAGCACTAAATCAAACGAAGCATTTAAAATTTTTTTCGACCAATTTAAAATAGGCAATCACAAAAACAGTTAAATCAGCTGGCTTTAAATTCTCAATGTATTATCTTTTATTAAATCTAAAGAATAATTTTGGCGGTATGATCAAGGAAACCATTCACAAAATGATTTTTATATATTAATTTACAAGGATTAAACCCACACTCTATCTTTATTCAATGAGCTTTATTAAATGCTAGCGTACAAAAAATATTGTTTTACGTGTCAAAATAAAAAAGTCAAGTTTTTTTTATCATTAGTACGTTCTTATCGTTATATATTTATCCAATTATTATTGCAACACAATGCTATACAATAAATTATTTAAATGTTTTTATTAATTTTTTTTTTTATAATTGTATAACTTTGACAACAATTCATCAGTAAAAATTTTATGTCAAAAAATATTTATTGCTAACATACTATTGCTATTGTTTTTTGTTTAGCCAATGCGCGGGAATCGCATTTCACTTGATAGGGTCATTCTAGTGGAGAGTACATATAATTTTAAATATTGTCTCAAAAATAAGTTCATCAGATTGCGTTTTTCAGATATCTCAAGAAAATTGGTTTAATGAGTTGTTTTTAAAGAAAAAAATAGCTTTATAAGTAACAGCAGTAGTAGCAGTAGCAGCAGCAGGAATAGTAGTAGTAGTAGTAGTAGTAGTAGTAGTAGCAGCAACAGCAGCAGCAGCATATACCATACGATGTCATACGAATTCATAAAAATACTTATGAACTCGAGTTACACAACAGCCTAGGTTAGCATTTTGCTTGACTCTCCAATGGAGTTATCTAGTAGCATATTTCATATTGGAAATTTCTTCCAGGTAGGAAAGAAGGGGGAACATTAGGAACTGTTTGAAAAATACCACAAAGTTTTTGCACTGTTTGGCAAAAAATTTAAATTTTTATGAAAAGATAACTTAGTTATGAATTCTTTTAAAAAAAGCAAAACCAGCTAGTTCAAATAAATTATATTTTGTTTTATTTTTCAAAAAATTGTCCACATTAGAGGGGATTGTTTTGCACGACATTGGGGCATTTTAGGTAATATAATAAAAAGACAAGAAATGTTTCCTAAAATTTCCTTTTTTTATTGAGCAGTAATATAAACAGTAAAAGCGATTATACTATTTAACAACAGCAGAACTAAGAGAACTATTACTAATAACAAAAATTATTCTTATAAATTTCTCAAACAAATAATATTCTTGCATAATATATTCAAACAAACCAAAGGAAATTTTAAAATTTTCTTCGTTCAAATATCTTTCACATTTCTTTTTTATGGTTGCGCGCCATTTTTAAACTTTGTTTAATCTTTTAATTTTTAGTAATTTAATTTGCCGATAAGATTGTTAACAGACGTGCAGTACGTCCAAATGTAACGTCCAAATGTGCCCCATGAAAAATACCCAATGCTGCGTAAACGTTGATTTCAGAAAATATTCCAAAAGCCTTTTATGAAAGTTTTATGTTTTGTAATTGAACTTTTTATTTATATTTAGAACATTTTGTTCACTAAAAATGTAAAAAAAACCTTTTAGAGAAGTAATTTCCCCTGTAAATCCCTATTACTTCTCTAAAAAATATTTACAGAAGTAATTTCCCTATGTTTAATAGTTAAGAAAATATATAAAAATAATAAAATGCTTGTAAAAAAGAATATCTTAATGTCTTCCTGAAAATCCTGTAACGGTTACGTGCAAAATTTCCATTTTAGCTAATATATTTAACTTGGTTGATAAGTTTCTATTTTTTTAAATTTTCGCGTTGTCCTAAATTATCCTGTCCTAAACTGCTACATTCTCTCCTAAGCATAATCAATAAAAATACAATGTATTCAATATAAAAACAATAAACTAAAAAAAACTCATTAATTCATTTTGTGTTTAATATAATTAAACTAATAGTGTATGAAGATCATAGAAGCAAGTTTTTATTTTTCAGAACTTTTTTTCATTCTCTGAAGTCCCCTAAAGCAGTCAAAAGGTTCTGTAAAATAACCAGGACAATGTCAGTGTCGATATTTATTCAATTTGTAAGGAAATTTTTTTCTAATACTATAAATATAATATTATATATATATATATATATATATATATATATATATATATATATATATATATATATATATATATATATATATATATATATAACATGAGATCAGTGTTATCCCGAGGGAAGCGTCAGGAGTTGTCTAAACCCCCTAGAAAGTTATATTCAAAAATAAGTCGGCAAATTTGGACATTTGAGTTGGTAAAATTGGATCTGTAGTTGGCAGTCGGCAAAGGTTAGTCAATGGAGACATTTTTTTCTAGGCCTTAGTCGGCAAAAACAGATACATCATCCCTTCCTCCTTTAGGGTAGAATCTGGCATATAGGGACACTTAAGAAAAAAATACTAGTTGTGGATAAACTAATCAAAGTTAACACTGTTTTTTATAAGTTTCTCAAAATTCTTATATGTCGTAATTCATCTTTAAGACTGTGCCCCCTGAGAATATGCAGTTTAGAGTAAATTTAAATACCATATGTGTATCAGCAGCAAGTTTTAAGTTTATTTTTACTCACAGCTAAATCTGCATTAAACGATATTATTTTTATTAAACCATATTAAACGATTGATTTTTCTTCTTTAATTTCTTACCATCTTTATCTACATTAAACACTATTAATAATCGAAGTTAAGCTATAAAAATAAGAATTTCTTTGATATTATTATAAATATCGCTTTTCTAAATAATATTTTTTTTTTAATTAAAAATAAAACTATCAAACTGTAAGCAGCATTATAAAATAACTTGTTATACCGATATGTCTTACAAAAATCATTTTACTGAAATTAATACTGTTAAAAAGTTCAATTCCAGATTTTTTTTTAAAATCAGATTCTAAAAGAGGATAAAAAATAACGTCTGAAAATTTTTTTATAAATTAAACAAATTATTAATACCGTAATATAAATTATTAATAATAGGTAGTTCGAGATAAATCTTTTGTTATTCTATTTCTTAAGAAAATTTGCAAATTTTGCTTTTTGTAAACTTACTGATGCATTTTGGTACTCTTAATGCATTACTAATGCATTTTGGTACTTTTAATAGTATTTCTAAAATTAAGTTTTTATACAATAATAAAGCACATTAATCTAAAATGTTTTATCAAAAAAAAATTAAATATATATATACATATATATATATATATATATATATATATATATATATATATATATATATATATATATATATATATATATATATATATAATATATATATATATATATATATATATATATATATATATATATATATATATATATATATATATATATATATATATATATATATATATATATATATATATATATATATATATATATATAAGCTAAGATATATGGCTTCAAACATAACTGTTCCGTTATGCCTCACTGTCCCCGCTCTACCTTAAGATCTTTTCAGGACGGCCCTGTGGTAACTTAGTAAGAATTATCATTATTTAGTAGATGATTACCATTAGTTTTTAAGATATACTTATAAACGTGATGCTTATATGACGAAAAAAAAACATACCAATGTAAATTGTCTTTGGTCAAATAAAAATAGAAATTTTATAACGCATTTTTTTTTTGTCGTTTTTTTTTGGTCATGCCTTTGATTTTTTTGTTGTTATTCTTATGACAATATATCCTGTTATAATGCCGTTGTACTTAAAATATAAGAACCCGGAAACTTAAAGAGGATTGTAAGATCCTGTAACTGAGAACCGTTTAAAAATACAATATATAATCAATTATTTGAAAAATAAAATACTGTACAA